CCCCAGATAATTAGTGAGCAATATATACAGTTAAGTGGTACCAACTTAGCACTTAGCCACACTATTCTGTGACCGGAGGATTGCACGGGTGGGATTCCTCTGTTGCTAGTGGGAAGTGGGGTGTGTCCCCGCTGGGAGCTGGGAGCTGGGGGTTGGGTTCTGGCAATGTCTTGAGAAAGAGAATTTTCTAAGACTCACATGGGAGAATGCGATGTGGTAGGAAGGTTTATTTGTGTGAAATTATACCCCTTGGTTTCCAAAGTCCCATGGCCCTTAAACCAGTCCTGGAGAATATGCAGCTGGCGCTTCAGCAAAGCCAGAAGCAAAGCCAGTGTCCAGAGTTTCCGGTCCATGGTGGAGCTGGGTCCCATGTAGCATCAGGCTAACGTCCATTAGTCCATTGTGTGTGGCGTCCACATGGCTGTGTGCCATGTGGGCGAATGCAGGGGAGCGTGCTCCCTGCAACAAGAGGGCCGGGAGCACGAGAGGGCCAGGTGCCCCAAAAGCACCAAGAGAGAAAACCCCCTTTGTTCAGGAGTTTAAATATCAAATCTTCCTGGGCTTTCAGTGGCCATGCCTACACGCCTACTCCAGCCAATAACCTGTTCCCAGGTATGACTGACAGATAAGCACCTTCCCACATCACCCAGAAGTTACTGGGCATGTGTCTAAATTGCAGCTTCTCTTTGTTCCTTTCTAGTTATTAATTGATAACCACGTTATTACAATGGTATCAATTCCACATTGTATATGATTATTATTAACTAGAGGCCCAGTGCATGAATTCGTGCATGGTTGGGGTTCCTCAGGGTGGCCTGCGGAGATCAGGCCTCAGCTTGTGCCCCACCTCGCAGCCCTGCCTGGCACCCTGCCTTGGCCTGGTGCCACCCCCTCACCTGCTCCACCATCCTGCCTGCGGGGCTATCAGTCGGGGCTGGGCCCCCTGCCTGGCTCCCTCAGCACCTGGGAGCCAGATGGTGGCCTTGTCCCCCGCTGCTGCTGCTGGTCGCTGTCTGCAGGGCCATTGGCAGGACAATTGGGTCCCTGCTTGCACCCATCTTGGCCTGGTGCCACCTGCTCACCTGCTCCACTATCCCACCATGGTTCCGCTGTTGTCTGGGCCCATTGGGGCCGGCAGCGCCTTCACTGCTGCCCACTGCCAGCGCCGCGTCACTGATGCCGCCATGTTCTGCACCATCCCTTGGTGGTCAGCGCATGTCATAGCGAGTGGTCGAACTCCCGGTTGAAAGACCACCCAAGGGGACAATTTGCATATTAGGCTTTTATTATATAGGATTGCAGGGGTTCAGAATGAGCTGAAGAGAATGGAGTTGAGAATGTCAGGGGAAGGCTTCATGGAGACTTCCAGAATTTAGCTGGGCCTTGGAGAGGTTTTGGGTGGAGACTGGAGACGGTTGGAGTGGATTTCTGGAAAAAGGAGCAGAGTGATTAAGGCATTAGGGAAGGACTGAGCGTGGGTGGGGGTGAGGAGGGGCTAGGGTAGTGCTTTTTAAATAATGGACTCTGTAAATGTGAATGTAACCAATGTTCATTGAGAGCTCTCTAGGTGCCAGGTACTGTGCTAAGTTAGCCCTGTCCACTGTGACTGCGTGCAGTCCACATTCTCCCTAGAAGGGGAAGGAAAACCCACCCAGGCAGGTACTGTCATCACTTCCATGTCACAGATGAGGAAACTAATGGCACTGTTGCAGCTTGGAGCCAGGCTGGACTCCAAAGCTGGCAGTTCTTCCCAGCTCAAGTCCAAAGACATCCTATTAGGGTGGGAGTATTGTGAATAGTGGGGAATAAGAAGGACTAATCTAGGGCCTTGTTACTCAAACTGGGAGCCTGTTAGAAAAGCCTCCCGCGCCCCCCCTCCCTCCCCCCACAACACACACACTGAATCAGAGCCTGCATTTCAGCACCTTCCCCAGGTGATCGGTGCGCACATTAGCATTTGAGAGGTGCAGGCTGGTAAAAGTTTGGCTGGATTTATGCCTGTGCTCTTCAAGTCTCTGATGACGTCTTCCTTCTGGAGGGTATGAGGTGAAGGCCCAGGATAGCCCACCACAAGCTGAGATCTCTTTGAAGTCTCGTATTTCATCTAAAAATGTCATAGACTGTTTCATCCCATACTGTAATATATCAGCGGTCATTTAAATATTTCAAAATGGTTATGTAAATTGCCTTGGAGGAGGATCCCAGTTCCTGGAAGATGCCTGAAGGGATTTCCTTGTATCTTAAGTGGGGTAATAATAACTACTTCAAGGGCTGCTGTGCAGATCAAAGGAGAACCATGTATATGGAAATGCTGCATAAACTGTCCCCATCACACACATGTTGTTATTCTGGAAGGAACTGAGCCTCCTCCCAACCCAGTGTCCTTAAGCCTCAGCCCTGGACTAGGAGTGACTCTCTGGGTTCCACAGCCCATTTCTTGGGATCAGAAAGAGAAGTAAAGACAGGAAGAGAGGCCCAGAAAGGTGAGATGGACAATGACCATCCACATCTGAGGCCAACGGAGGAAGGGTAGCCAGCAAGGCCCAGGCAGAAGGCTGGGAGGGAAGGAGGCGCATTCGGAACTGCAGAAGCTAGAGGAGAGCTCGGCCAGGAGTGGTCAGCAGTTCCCCAGGGCACAGAGCAGCTGAATGGGATGAGGAAGGAGAGAACTGTTACATTTGGCTGAGGTTTCAGACATCCTTGGGTAGGGTTCTGGTGGAATAATGGGGTTAAAGCCACATTTTGACAAGTTAAGAAGAGAACAGCAGAGATTTTTTTTTCTTCCCATGTTAATCATTTGGATTTTCACACAATTGCATTTTTATTACAGATATCTTCCTTGCCATTTAAAACTTAATCCCTATAATTTGTGACTAGAACCAAGTTGATACTGTCTTTTTAATCCATTCCTTGGCAAAAAGTTATTTAAGGAACGCAGAAAATTGCAAAGAATTGTTTATGGTGTGATCCTATTTTTGTTTAAAAGGATGGGTTTGTGTGTGTATTTATAAATATGTATATATGTATATCATAAACAAAGAAAAACATCTAGAAGAATATATATTAAACTAGAGGCCCGGTGCATGAAATTCATGCATGGGTGCAGTTCCTAGGCTTGGCCAGTGATCAAAGCGTGAGCATCTGGTGTGGAAGGACAGGTCCCAGCTGATCTCTGGACGCTGGGCAGCACCTGGGCCCCTGGGCCCCCATGGACTCCCCTCCACCTGAGTCATGGTGCCGAGTCCCCATGCGGAGATGCAGAGAGTGCACCTGAACGCAGCAGGCCGGGGTGCAGCGGGACCTCTGGGCTGCCCAGCAGCGCTGCAGAGAAGCTAGGTGGCAGCCTGCTTCTGCGGTCGGCCTTGCAGACCGGCTTCTGCGCGAACCCAGGGAGCCCAACCAGCCCCTGTGGTCCCAGCGGCTGTGGCCTGGCTCACCCAGAAGAGGCTGCGTGGATGCAGGGCCGGCTCCTTGCAGGCACCCGGCACCTGAGTGTGGGGGCTTCCTCTGTGCAAGCCCTGGCATCCCAGGGGAGGGTAGCAGAGGGAGTGAGAGCGAGCTCTGCAGACACCCCGCATTCTCAGCGCACCTCTGTACCTGTCACCCCTGCCCCCAGGTAGCCGGCGAGAGATTGCAGCCCCCCACCCGGGGGATCCTGGGAGGTTGGTCACCGCCACTCATCCCCAGATCCCCATCCCAGCCTGGGGACTAGCACCCACCTTGGCCTGGCGCTGCCCGCTCACCTGCTCCACCATCCCACCACAGTCCCACTCTTATTGGGGCCCATCGGGCCGGCAGTGCCTCCATTGCCACCCACTGCCAGTGCCACGTTGCTGACGCCCACCATGTTCCGCACCACCCCCTGGTGGTCAGTGCATGTCATAGCAACTGATTGAACTCCCTGTCTCCCAGTCAAATGACCGCCTGAGGGGACAATTTGCATATTAGGCTTTTATTATATAGGATTATAATGGGAAATTTTACTAGTATACTTATATGTCACTTTAAACGTGTAGTATTGTTAATTATACCTATGAAATTATATGGTCAGATTATGATTTTTGACATAATTCTTTGGGCTGCAAATGGCAGAAACTCAGCTGAAACTTGCAAAGCAATAACTAAATTCTTCAGGCGTGGGTGGATCCAGGAGCTCAAATGATGTCATTAGAAATCTCTATCTCTCAGACCTGCTGTCCTTATTGACTTCATTCACAGGTAGTTCAGACCTGCATCTCATCAGTTTAGCACTGCAGTGGGAAGAGAGCAGCTTTTCCCTGAGAGTGTCAGCAAAGCCCAGGGCTGTCTTTCAAGGGCCCAGCTTGGCCATGTCTCAACCTTAAACCAGTGAATCATTGTGGCTGTGGGAAGCACTATGTTGACTGGCTAGGCCAAGGCCCAGGTCATGTGATCCTAGAGGAGAACAAAAGAACTTTCAAGGCCATCCAAGGCAGCCAGTGGACTGAAAGGAGGGGCTGAATGGTTCCCCAAAGGGAATCCAGAGCTCAGTTGTCAAAAGGACAGGTACAGATCCCCACATGTCTGCTCCTAAGGGACCTTCACTCTCTGGGTCACAGGTATTTGTAATAACTGAGCTGTTGCATGCATTTCTCTTGTGGTGGCAAGAGAAAAACGAGACCCCCTTCTTAGTCAACTGATTTGGGTTGCATCTGGTTATAACTTTGAGAAAAGTTAACAAGTGAGAGAAAAGAGTGAAGCTCAAATCTTGTCCACGACCTTGATTTTGTAGGGCATGGGAGGAATGAACGGTGGTGCTGGGGAATCGGCTTCTCCTTTTCGTAGATCATTAGTTGTGTGTGTTCACAACCCATTGGGACATCGGACAATCTCTGGGGCTCTGGGGCTCCTGAGTGACGCGCCTGGGGAGCCACGCCTGCGTCAAGGTCACCCTCTGCCTCTCCACCTCCTGTGCACTTCGCCGGCCTCAGCGAATGCTTCCCTGCTTTCCCATATCACACTGCTCTGTTTCTTCATTTCAGGGTTACACTAAGGACATGGTGACAGACTTTGATGAGAAACATGATGAGTATTTAATATTGCTTCAGCAGAGGAACCGGTAAGACAAAGCCGCTCGCCGGCAGCCCTTAATATTAGCCAAATAAGAACCCTATTTAGATTTATCAACAGCACGCAGGCGCTGGTTCACATGAGTGGGATGCAGTCACCCCACTCGGAGGCTGGGAGTATTCTCTGCAATGCCAGCTCCTATTTCTCCATTCACTGACTTAATTGCACTTTTGATTGAGCTGTAGCAAACTGTTCGGCGTGTAAGTGCCGTCTCTTGCCTCCCTGTTTCTGTTCTGGGAGAAGGTGGGTTTGTAATGAAAAGCTGGGATTTGGCAGGGCCTGTGCATTAGTCACCGCAAGAGCCCAGGCTGTGATCTTTCAGGCTGCGCGGGGCCTGGGAAATCTGAGCCTGTAATCATGCCTTGTTATGTAAAGGTGGAGTCACTGTGCATTTGTGTTTGAAGTTGGTCCCCATGTCACTTAACGTTAAGTCAGTATGAATTTGGGCTCTGGGGTGCTGGTTCTTGAAAAAGCCGGCAGTCGGTGGACGCAGTGTTTAGTGACCGCGGTCAAAGCGCTGGGGTCTGGTTCAAAAGAGGCGTCGTGTCCTCAGTGCTGCGAACGTGTGCCGCCTCTGGAAGTTCACCTTCAGTTCCCCGCCGTCTGTCTTCAGGCCTGGGGCCTTGCAGGAAGCTGGATTTGCAAACTCAGATGCTAGCAGGGGCCAGGCAGTGAGCGAAGCCAGCTCCGTGGGGAGAGTGCTCAGCTCAGGCCAGTTGTTTGGGAACACGGGGTAGGGTCCATGGCCTCCACGGTTGCCAGAGAAGCCGGAAATCTGCGTTTGTGGTGTGAAACCTCCTGTGTTTTAAATGTTAGTAATGGATTCAAGTGAAAGTGCAAAACAAATGGAAGAGTGGTGCAGGCCCCTAAAACAGACCTACAGGAGGGGAAGGACTGGGTGCTAATCTGGGCCTTTGTGTTATGGGAATAAGCTTGGGTCTTGCAGGCCAGATGTGTAGGGCTTGTCATTCTGAACGTGGGTTCAGTCCTTCTCTGACTGGCTGGACTCCTGGTGCTTGTCACCTGGGGCCCTGGTGGCATGTCTCAGGGGACAGGTTTCTATGTGAAAGAGAGTCCCATGTGTTGTAGGAGTGTAGTGTTCCTGCCCACTGGCCCCTTTACTAAATTCTACTAAGACCTCCTGTATCTATGACAACAGCACCCGCCCACCTATCCAGGTGCTCCCTGGTGAGGCCCTACCTCCTCCAGTGGGAACCTCTGAATAGAAAACTATGGGAACAGCCAGAAATGCCTCCTGCTGGAAGGCACTGTCCTCTCCCAGCTGCTCTGTGCTCGGTCCCCCCTCTCCCCGCAGGTGACCTCCAGCTGGAGCAGTGGAAGGCTGTGCCCAGGAGTCCCGTGTGGGCCTTCTACCTTCATGAATGCCACGGAGCAGATTGTTTCACTCAGTTTCTGGCAGGCTGGGTGGTGCTCCTGACACCTGGGTGATTGTTTAATTAAATACATGCGCCTTCTCTTGGAGGAGAGTGTCATATGAGCAGATTGCTTCTTGTTAATCGGGGATCAATAAGTATATGCTCAAAGAGGTACCAGCCGATATAAGCGTGTAGGAGAATATCCAGTGACCAGGTTGCAGCACAAAGGCAATTAAAAAATATTAAAACTGAGTTTCCATAAAATTTGGGAGCTGTGTTGTCACCAAGAGGGAGCTGGCTTGATGACAGGAAATTAGAAGGCAGAACTAAGAGAAACACCTAAAAAGAAAAATGGGGAATGCACCTGAGCCGTCATCAATGTTGCTTTAAAGGCACCTTTTCTGGAGGGCCAGTGCGTGCCAGGCACCTCGCCCTGTCACCTCGCCCCCATCGTCATCATTTTGTCTGCACACTACCCACCTGATGAAGCAGATACAGTTGTTGCACCCATTTTACAGACAAGGAAGTGGAGACCAGAGCAGTGTGCAATTAGCCTGAGGCCATACAACCAGGAAGTGGTGCAGCTGGGCTGTACTTTCTTAATGATGTTTTGTTTGACATTGTCATAAATACAGTGGGGCCTTGACTTACGAGTTTAATTTGTTCCGTGACAGAGCTCGTAACTCAAATTACTCGTATGTCAAATCAAAAAGTGAACGAGTGAGACACGTGATGCTGGGCTGATGTTGTGGCGTTCACTGTGACGTTCGCTGCACCAACTAGCGGTGGGGTATCTGAAGCTGGCTCGTAACCCGAATTTTAGCTCGCAACTCAAAGCAAAAAATCGGCCGAGCGACGGCTTGTATCTCACAAAACTCGTTAGTCGGGACACTCGTAAGTCAAGGCCCCACTGTAATCAAAAGGAGAGAAACCTGCCAGGGTAGCCAGGGGCTCTAAGCTTATTACGAAGTTAGAAATCTGGTTATCTGACTGGGTAGGAAACCAGCCTCTGAGCTTTACACTGTGCCTAGAGGGAGGTGAAAACCCAGGCTGCTGTGTGGGCTGCCCTGTGACCTGAGAGGGGGGCGGGGGGTGCAGTATCATTGGTGTGAGAGCTCAGGAGAGACCTGCCCGGAACATTGTTCTTTACTCGCTCTGTTCACTGCGCCTTCTCAGTGGCTCGCTTTACCACGAGCATGAAGAACCGTGTGCTGAGGAAGACACACTGTTCGTGCTCCTTACTGGACGGTGCAGAAACCCAAGGTTAATGGACTTTAAGCAACAAAGACACTTACTGGCTCATGAAATAAAAAAACCCAGGATGATACTCTGGCTTCCGGCATGGTTGGATCCTGGTGCTCAGATTAGGTCACTGAGCCCTGGTCAGTGTGACTCAGTTGGTTGAATGTCATCCCATGCACCGTAAAGTCACCAGTTTGATTCCTGATCAGGGCACATGCCAAGGTTGTGGGTTCGATCCCCAGTCAGGGTGGGAAGCAACCGATCAATGTTTCTCTCTTATATCAATGTTTCACTCCCCCCCCCCCTTTCTTCTCTCTCCCTCTCCCTTTCTCTCTCTCTCAAATCAATTTTTAAAAAATTATGTCACTGAGATCAGTCATTGTTCATCTCTTAGTTCTGTTTTCCCATGTTGGAGACATCTCAGACAGGTACGCCCCTCACGGAGGCCAAGGCCGCCACTGGAAAACCCACATTTGTATCCTACCTCGAGGAAGGGAGAGTACCTCCTTCCTAATAGTTCCACAAAAGTGCTGGTAAGGGCTCCCATTGGTCAGGCTGGGGCCCCAGGTTCATTCCTGAGCTCATCACCCTCTTTGCCTGGTGAGGTGGCATGGTCTGACTGGCCACTCCTTGGACACCCATTAAGCTGGGTTGGAGCGAGCTCACCCACACCATGGAGTAAGGAGTGGCTTAACTAGGAACTACTTCCAGGAAGTAGGGGGTGGGAAGTAGGGGCTATGGTGGGAAGGTGGGGGAGAGGTGCCGGGCAGGCAGGCAGGAAGAACAGGTGTCTACCACACAGCCCTTGCTCTGGAGGAACTCCGCAGGCCTCAGCTGGGAGCACCAGGCCACCCACAGTATGCGGGAAGGAGCACCCAGTGACCATGTGCTCCAGGAGAGGACCAGGCCACCCACAGTATGCGGGAAGGAGCACCCAGTGACCATGTGCTCCAGGAGAGCACCAGGCCACCCACAGTATGCGGGAAGGAGCACCAGGCCACCCACAGTATGCGGGAAGGAGCACCCAGTGACCATGTGCTCCAGGAGAGGACCAGGCCACCTACAGTATGCCGGAAGGAGCACCCAGTGACTGTGTGCTCCAGGAGAGGACCAGGCCACCTACAGTATGCCGGAAGGAGCACCCAGTGACCGTGTGCTCCAGGAGAGGACCAGGCCACCTACAGTATGCCGGAAGGAGCACCCAGTGACTGTGTGCTCCAGGAGAGCACCAGGCCACCCACAGTATGCGGGAAGGAGCACCCAGTGACCGTGTGCTCCAGGAGAGGACCAGGCCACCTACAGTATGCCGGAAGGAGCACCCAGTGACCGTGTGCTCCAGGAGAGGACCAGGCCACCTACAGTATGCCGGAAGGAGCACCCAGTGACCGTGTGCTCCAGGAGAGGACCAGGCCATCCACAGTATGCGGGAATCATGTGCTCTAGGAGTGACCGTTCACGCTGCACAAACCCTCCAGAGGACACTGAGTGTATGGTCACTCGCCTTCCTAAGAGATGTAACCATGCCCAACGGGACTCAGGAGAGAGCAAGCAGAGGGATCAGAGGGCAGAGACGTGCGGAGGGACTGAAGCTCACAGCCAAGGGGGCTGCAACACGCACCTCTCATTGTGGAGCGTGGCCAGGGCCAGGAATCCAGCAGCGGCATTATTTGCTTTTTCCTTTGAGGGAAACTTAGAGGAAAACCTGCCCATGTGGGAGGTGAGCCCACTGCCTGAAGAGAAGATTCAGGCAAAAAGAAGGAACGGGAGAACCAGCGTCCAGTGGGGACCTCTCATGGGCTGGGCTCTGAGCTGGAGCTTCAGCCTGGCCTCCCATTTCATTCCCTGACAACCAGACAGGTGTAGGCATTCTTGGTCTCATTCTACAGAAGAGGAAACTGTGGGCGTGCCCCAGGTCATGCGGCCGGGGCACTGGCGGCGCCCCCGGTGCGGAGCTTTGCCCTCAACACTGCGCCACCTCCACCCACGTGGATTGGGGCGGTGACGTCCTGGAGAACCAGCCCCGGAGCCCAGGGCCACCAGGTTCAGGAAGGAATGGCAGGCTTTGGCACCTTTGCTCTCTGCTTTATGCTTCAAGGCTGGACTCCAACGCCACCACCTCCAAGACCCCTCAGCTGAGAGCCACGCTCCTCTGGGAACCCTCCTTGCTCAGCGCCCTGTGGCGTGAAACCTGGTGAGGAGACAAGAAACAGCTGAAAGGCGCTGGGAGGCAGGCGTGGGCCTTGCAGACTGTCATTTAAATCCTGGCTGCTTCCTTGGCTCTCTGACCTTGGCACATTCACCTATGAAACAGGCCAATGGGAGGACTTAAATGCAAGGGCCAGGAAGGAAGCTAGACACGTATTTGACGGTG